TGTTTGCTTTTAAAGAACTTCACTGAGAGGTAAAAGTATAATAAATGATTAATCGGCTTTTTTTTTTGTCAAGAGCATATCCTTGAATAAACTTACATGAAATAGTAAACAGTGTAGCTGACAGTGTTCAATAAAATCCGTATCCAACTTATTTTTAAATTAACAGAAAACAGAAAAGGGGTGGTGTGAATTGTTGGTTGACATTGATCCAGACACTCCTGACAAGCTGCGATTTGTCCTTGCGCCATCTGCTACTCCTGCTGCAAAAGCCTTCATACATGTAAGCTCGCTTATATAATCCTCTCCATCCAGCTAATACTGCCATTGTGTTACATATTTTGAGCTGCTCACTGTTTTCAAAATGTACTTACTGCAGTTATTATCACTGTTTCAAACATACTTATCTGGCGGTTTTTATTGAGAACATCTTAGTATGCATTTGTTATGTGCAATAATATTGTAAGGAAAGGCTACTTGCCATGTGAAACCAGACCAGTAAGGGTGATACACCTGTATTTCGTTTTAGGAAAAAAGATGGACAAGCAAAATATTAAGCTGTAGATTCCTAAGGAAAACTTTATAGAACCTTGTTTAGCAGCTTACCTGGTATTTATCAAAATAACCAGTAAGATCATTACTAAAATGCAACAAATGTTGCATCTAGTTTATTCCGAGAAGGGGTTTTATTTCATAACAAATGTAGGATCCAGATAGACATGTGACAACCCCATCCTGCAGATTTCCTGCTATCGTTTCCCTGCAGGGAATCCTGAGAATTACAGGTTTGATGGACGATTCATGTCCTCCCATAAAACTCACAACCCAAGATTCTCTTGAGGGAAGCTGCAGGAAAGTGTCAGGACTTATAGCTGTAGGCATGTGTGCATATACTGCTACATAACTGTTTGTTCAACCCCTGAATTCTCATTTAGGACAAAGAATCCAGAGATCATGTGGAAGTGTGTCCTGACGCTGGTATCATCATCCAGAAGTTGGCCCATAATATTGAAAAGAATGGGGGCAATGCACTGATTGTAGATTATGGCCACAATGGAACCAAAACAGATACATTCAGGGTAGGTTGATTTATACAGGTTCCTACAGGACAGTTTGCGTGAACAGTCTGTTTTTTCCAAAGCTAAAATTTCTTCTCTACTTTCTGGGGCAGTTACTAAAGTACCTTTGCGATAAAAGGTAGAGTAGAAGTGCACCATTTTGTGGCATTTATCTATTGCCAATAATGTTATAGCCAGCAATAAGTGGTGAGGTTTTGGAAAGGGAGCCATTTGTAGCTTAAGACAGCATACAATTCTTCAAAAATCATAATTCTTAACTTTAAAAATTCCCTTTTTATAATTGGAGGTCGTTTTTCCTCTGTGCTCTATTTTTGTCTGCAACCTAAAAAGCTGCAGGGTCTAAGTGAACCATTCCCCCCCCCCCATATTTCTGTTATTTTTCAGGGATTCCGTGGACATGAACTTCACAATGTCTTAATATCTCCAGGAACAGCGGACCTCACAGCAGATGTTGACTTCAGTTACCTGCGAAAAATAGCACAGGAAAGAGTAACAACCTTGGGTCCCATAAAACAACATGATTTTTTGAAAAATATGGGCATTGATATCCGACTACAGGTAGGGGCCACTTTCTGGCTAGTTTATAAAAATAGTCTTACTTAACTGAATACACTTAGATTATCTGTAGCTGATTTAAGTCTCATTGTAATGGGAGACAGAACCTGTATTATTTATTTTGAAAGGTGGGATATAAATTTATCAAATGAACAAGTTAAAATTCAGAATATACAAATTTGGAAGGGCAGAAGATTGATGTAATTCTAGGATAGAAAGTAGCCAAGTTACAGGTAGCACAACTGGACAATTCTGCAGTTTTAAAGGGGATTAAAATAATTAATTTTCCCATTTAGGTACTATTGAAAAGTGTCAATGATGCAGCCATTCAGACTCAGCTGCTTCGAAGTTATGAAATGCTAATGGACCTGGATAAAATGGGAGGACGTTTCCACTTTTTTGCCATGTTACCTCACTCCAGATTTACAGCTTCAGATCAGCAAAAGAAGTCAAAAGACTCAACATCACATTCAGCATTTGTTGCTGGCTTTGGTGAACTCTCATGGAAGTGAACCCCAAATGTCAATGCTTTAAGAGAACGATGCAGGCTTCCCATTGCGAATCATGGAAATAGGGGTATGTAGATAGGTCTTATAACAATCATGTTGCCTTTCTGTAACAATGCCCGCACACAGGGATTTTGATACAGGTACCAAAGGTAGAGGAAGTACAGAGGATACAGTAGTGAGGAAAAGACGCATGATAGGGAAATAAAATTTATTTTCAAGCTTAGAGGATATTTACAAACAACGGGACATATAAAAATATAAAAAGTACTTGACAGTGTCTTTTTGAGGCTACAAGTTTTACATGAATATCTTCTAGCATCAATACAGAACTATTTCTTCAATGAATGCAACTTAACTGAAAAACAAAGATTAATGATAATGCAACACTGGGTACAAATTCATCTGGAGCAACAGATTTAATGCCAACCTTCAGTGACTTAAAGCTTTGATTTAATAATATTTGTAGGCATTCATAGGAAAGTTAGAGTGCAAGCTATGCAGTTTATTTATGGTTTGTGAAATGTGTGTAACAGCTGTTATAGTGTAGAAACATTCCAGTTATTTCTCATCTTTAACTACAACAGGGCTTTTATTCCTACCCTACTGGTCCAAAATTTTGCTATCCTGAAACCTGAAATTAAATCAAGAGGCATACCTGACACTGTACATGTTTGACTTGCTTTGCTGCTGTTTAAATATGGCTCTCTGATGCTACAACCGATCTTAAGGCTGCAATTCTATATACACCTACCTGGAAGCAAACCCCACTGAACTCAAGGGGACTTATTTCTGAGTAGACATCTATAGGATAACAACTGAGTCAATCCGAAATAATATTGATCCTATTCTGTTGTTGCATAAGTTTACAAAGAAACAATAAGACAAAACAGTGAAACAACTATGAACACTTCCAATAGATTAATAGTTATGCCACAACAAAATGTGCTTTGCCAGAACAGCTACTTTCAGTGTTCAATACCATGCTATAAATACAGAATAGTTCCAGCTGTATATTCAAAAAATTGAATAGTAGCTTCCAATAATTTTACAACATGATTGGATCATTTATGATAGGGGCTTCCAATCATTTCACTTATCCATGACATTTTGACTGCCTTTGAGACTTAGTCATTCTCATCTCTGCTGTGGATTCTCCCCACTGAGAGCACTGCTTCCCACGCCTACAGTAGAAAAGGTTAAGAAACTGATGACAATAAAATTACAATGACCTTTTCTATAGGTGAGAAACATTTTCTAGAATATTTTCTAGATTTACTTTGAATACATTTGTAGCTTAACTACAAGGTTAATCTGCTAACAGTTCCTGGCTCATTATTTTGAACTCTCTGGTTTGGAGAAGGCTTCATCCACATTAAACTTTGTCTCTTGCATTTCCAAACAGCTGCATTATTTCAGAGGGTCTCCCCCACTTGTAGAATTTTATTCACTGGAACAATTTCCAATTCAAGATTGTAGAAATGCATGTTCTTTGAATCCACATGTTACTTGCAACCCACTGACCCAATTTACATGTTACTGCTTTGGCAAAGTTCCTGCCATCAAACAGATTCTTGGTTGTCTACTCACTTTGATAATAAAAGCATCAGTCATGTAGGTAACTCTACCTACATAATCAGTACTTTTATACATTAATTACCATGTCACATTGGAGTTTGTAATGGGATAACAAAATAAGATACAAAAAGTTTCAGTCCAAGTATTCTGAATACAGAGCAAAGACAAGAAGAACTGCAGGTGCATAGCTGACTCTCAAAATCTGTTCAACAAATATGCCTGAAATTAGGCCAGTGATTCATGTGGGTCACAGTAAACATCAGTGAGTTAGTGAAACATTCTGCACAATGCAGAAACATCCATCTGCACATGCAGAAACATCCATGCAGCAGTCCATCATAAATCAATCCACATGATCCTAATAAAAATTCTGGTTTGAAGCAGACCATCAGTGCACTATAAACCCCTTTTAGAAATGGTCCTCCATATGTTATTAGACTCCTACTCCCATTATCCTTGCCCATTGGATGTGGTGGCTGGGGCTAATGAAAGTTCAAATCTAAGGATCTAAGTGAACTTAGAAATGCATGTTCTCTATTCGGTGACAAACATCCAGCGATGAGTTGCACATGCAAAATAGTCTTCATAAATCAAAATGCCACAAGCAGAATTTTCACATCACATTACCTCAGTATTTTTTAGCTGAGGCCGCTCACATTCAGCTGAACATAAATCAAGGGAGACACACAAATGGAAGAATAAACACCCATATTTCATATATCCTGCCGTTCCAACTCATATGCCTCATAAGACTATGAATCTGTAACCCCAATGACACACAGTCTTTGTTCTGCTTCACTCCTGCTAGACTGAAATAAGGAGTTTGTGAATTGCACCATTCATCTAAAATTTGCACATTAGAGAAATGCTACCACTGAAATTGAGTTTGTCTGTAAGTTTGTCTGGCAACTGAAACAAAGCTACAAAACACTACAAGCAACAATATTTGTTTCAAATTAAATAATTATACAAGGTTCTTCTAAAGCTTGCTCCATCATAGTGTACTCCATTATTCAACACATTTTCCTCTACTTGTGGCATCTAATTGGAGATTGTATAGCATAGAAAATTCCATTATACTGAATGCTCACAGAGTATCCAGAACACACTAATAAATTTAAGGTCACGAGGAAGAGATGGAGAGGTGGCCAAATCCTTTTGCTGTTAGAGGATTTGGAAAATAAAATGGCCTATGAACAGCTGTTAAAGGTCATGATCAAATGAAGCTATATCCTAGAGATGGGGCCACACACTGTTGGAACTTACTTTGAAGTTTTTTGCTGGAGCTGCAACAGCTACAGCAGCATGCCTTGGCCAGAGCAAGTGTTGCCATGAAAATTTCACAGAACGCTTCAACTGCACATCTGGTTCTTGCTGACATTTATATACAGCTTATTTCAATTGTAGACCACATTTCCCTGAAAATGTTAACTTCATAACTAGATCCAGGTTAGTTCATTTGTTTGCCAATCATCTAAATAGAACAGTTGGTTGAGATGAAATAAAAAATTAAGCAAGGTTTTTATTTTAATTTACTTTAGTGACATTTGCACTGGTTGTCCAGTAGCCTTTAATGTTCTCAGACTGCTTTAGGTTATCTTCATATAGCCTTGTTCTTGAACTGCTGCTTCCATCATTTCTCCAGATCAAAAAATTTGGTTTAAGGGAATGTATGCACTGGACCTTCCTTATTGTGATAAGATTTTTGAGATTCTTCTTCTGTGTTCCTCTCTTGCTCTTTACATAGTTGTAATTCACAGACATGCACAGGAATAACTTTTATGTCAAGTGTAAAGCCTAGTCCTGTAATGAAACAGAATGCAGGGCGAGTGAAAGGAGGGCATGAAATGCTGGGAGAAAGCAAAGTGAAAAGAAGTCAGCTGATGACAGTTGAAGAAGAGAAGATGCTGAAGACCGACCTGAGGAAGGAGATGGACAGGAAATCAGAAAGAAGAAAAGCAGATGCAAAACAGAACTGACAGGCTGCTATTCAGACAGCAATAATTAACACTATGATGGAACAAACAGTGGCCAGGAAGTGAATTCATATAATTGTGTTAACTTTTTTATCTACAAAGTACCACCCATTCATACTCATTAAATCTAGGAGTGCTTGCCAAATTGATTCTCATCTGTAATTGAGAACTGTATGGATTAAATGTAAGTGTTTTGTAAGCAGACCTGCTAGCAGGAAGGGAAAGGAAGAAAAGGGTGACACGTTTTAGCCCTTCTCCAAGCCACTTCCCATCCTTTTCCTATCAGTAGATCTTTTAAGAAGAAGCCAACTGCATCAAGCAGAGTGCCTTGCAAGTAAATTTGTGTGGGACAGGAAGGAGGGAGGGAGGCAAACTCTCTTTCCACCCTTAATCTCTGAGTGATAAACCCAGCAAGTGGGAGGCAAAAGGCCACAACCCCCTGATCACCAGCAGAGTGATTTTGCTAGACTACAGGGTTTAATGAAAGCAGAAGAAAAGCAAAGAGCAGAAAGCAAAGGGCAACATGGAAACATAAATGACCGCATCTTCCATGACACCAGAGATCCTAAGGATATATTACACTGTGGATTCTAGTTACTAGAATTAATTGGAAATGAAGTAAAATTTTATTCCTTTCAAGAAATTAAAAGATTCTTTGGGGCCAAACTGCAGCAGACAAGTCTCTTCCAGAGCAAAATGAATGACAGCACAGAGGTATGCGCCCAGCACCACCACCACAAGGCTATTGTGATGCACCTACTACTTTAAACTTCCCACCACAAATCACGTTTCCACAGTGGAAGGCTAAACAACTGAAGATCTTAGTTGTGCACTGGATGCTAATTGGCAGGAGCCAAATATGTGATATGTGAGAGGGAACAATACACACAGCAGGAGCTTCAGTTTATTCTATCTGGTGCAACAATTCCCACTGCAGAAGAAACCAGTTGCTAGCACATGGAACTGTTGTGCTCAAAAAACAACCAGTGGAGCACTTTTTTCTTTGCAGCAGTATTCAAATTACATCTCTGGATCCTGGTCTATGGATAAATTGAGGCCGAAAGCCCTCCATAAGCCTCAAGGTCACACTAACATCTGCCACACAATGATAATTCACCATAATGCTTTACTGTTCTCCTAATGTAAGTGTAAAGGCGAAAACACACCTTGTCTGTATTAAGTGGGATTGTAGAGTACTTTTAGTGCTCTGCACTTCCATACATCAAGAGGCTGTTCTAGTTAAGCAGAAGGACAACAAATCTGCCTTAAAGTTATTGGCTCCCTTTACTTTTATTGCTTTTCCAACTCATACCTGCTAAATAAATATTCTACGAGTGTTTTGTATGGGGCTTAAAAATCAAGCATTGTTGTAGTTATTTGGTCATGGTATATATTTCAGGTTTCTCTACAGCTTCATAACAGATGTATCTAAATACCAGGAAATAGTATTCTATGGCTTAGTAGGTAGGAACTAGAAAACCATTAAAATTATTTTGTTATTGTGTAAACTACAAAAACCCTGGAAATTTCACATACTACATCAAGTCTCTGTGCACTTCATCGGCCAGTAACATCACTGTGATGTACCAGTAAGGCAATGTTAACACAAATATTTCATGGCTTTTAACCCAGTGCCGGATCACATTCATAGTCATAGTAACTAGAGATGTGGAGCCTTTCCCAAGTCATCTAGTCCATCCAAAAACTGATGGAAGATCCTTCACTGCTTTATAGACTGAAGAGCAAAGAGCAATACTTGCTCCATCAGAGTATCAGTAATGGTTTAAGTTAAGTGCCTTTCCCTGGATAGCAATTATGGGTCTTCCTCCATATCATCTGGATTGGGGGCCATAATGAAATGTTTGGGGTATACAAGATTGTGCTCATACGCATGTTCTTCCCAGCGAGCATCATCACTTTCATGGGTAATATAACGCTCTCCAATGCGAGTTTCAAACTCCCGAAGATCAAGCCAAGTTTGATAATCCTAAAAAGAAAAGTTTAGATGAGTTGTTTCTGAACACAATGTTGATCTTAATAGCGCAGTGATTCATTTCTAAAAGCACAGTGTGTTACCCAACAATATTCAGCTCTGATGGTGGGCAAGTTCCTCACTCCCACCACAGCCTCTGCTTCAAACCAATGTAACACGTTGATTTCATGCCAGTTAATCACATTACTTTCTAACCCTTGCAAGACCCCAGTATGCCTATCTTCATGCCTGCTTAACAGCAAAGTAAGCCAAAACATCTTTCACCGTTAATGATACAAGTCCTGCCTGGGTCACAAAGAACAGGCAAGGGTCAAAATAATAGACCTCCACTCTAGTCATGCTCACCATCCTTACACTTAATTAGAGCCAAGCTTAGAGGGAGGTGGTTTTTTGCAAAAAAACACACACACAAAAACAGCTAATTATCAAGACGTGGAAATGGGATGCTCACAGGAGATCCTCTCCAAGTACCTTTCCCTCAAGACCGTTTAAGTTGGGTTTTTACTCTATCTGGATTCCAAAATGAAAAGAGCCCTTATGGTGCGGGTTCAGGAAAGCTTTTACAGAGGAAAATCAGTGGAAGGGTTTAACAACCATTCTTTCTGTTAGCTGATTCTTCCTTTCAAGTACTGTCTCCATCACCAAGTCATATACTTTAGCTCAGCAAAAGTGGGTTTCAGACATCTAGTTACATTCTAAGTCAGTAACTGATGGCTGGGTGTATGATACAACAACCAATGCTATAAAGTAATGAGTGTCAGAAACATCATTCTAAAACCCAAAACTATGACTCTTAACATCCATTATTTCAAATAACCTAGTGCATACTGCTAAACCCAGACAAATTAAACAAACTCTCATCATGCCCAAAACAGAGAGGAAGGAAAAATAGATAGCTCTACTCAAATTGAATCAAATAAACTTTCCAAGATTTCATTTATACAAGACCTGTCAACTACTTGAGTCAGATTATGATTCATGTAATTGAACTGGGTAACATATAACACAATAAAGCTGGTATGCATTAGCTATACCTGTAACCACGGGTGACTAAGTGATTTGTCAACACTGTAACGTTTTCTCATCTTCACTTGAAGCAAGTTGTTTATTAAATCGATAGCTGGAGGAGCAAGGAAGAGAAAGTATTCAAAATAAGTATTTTGTCTTTCCTGTCACCCACAACAATAATTCTGAAGGAAAAAATAGTAATTAAGAGACAAAGGAAAGTTTGTGGGTTTGTGTAAACAGTACTACACCAACAGTTTGTGTCGTATGGGTGGAATTCATCTGAAGTCAAGAATAAGACTTCCATTTGTTTTAGAGAATTTGAATTGTACCATAATGCTGAAAGATTACACATTAAATTGGGAGTAAGTACTTTTGAACAGAGCAGCATTTACTTCTGAGTAATATGCATAGGATGCTAAGTTTAGATGCTTTCAGGACAAATTGATTGAAACTACTATTGAAACAATTTTTCAAAGTGTACATTTGCTGCAAAAGGTATGCAACAGACCCAAATAATAAGTTCCATATTGTCAATACCTACACACCAGTGCTGAAAACTAAACATGACATTAGCAAGCTTTAAGCATAAGTAAAGTACTTTTTTCTGGGAAACGCAGACTACAGGCATGGGAGGAAGCAAGACAACTTTGGAAAGGGCTGTGTACCAAGAAGTGCATTGCTGAATAACACATTACACCAACTGAAAAACACTGATCTACAGGCATGTTTTCACATAGGGTTCCCAGAGTCCATTATGATAATTGGTGGCTCTTTTCCTTTCTACAGCAGGCATTGGGAAAGCCCTAAATATAATGCCTGACAGGGCCAGGATTTTAATCTTACAACCCTCCAAACCAGACCCTATAACATGAAGCAGAAGGCTTCCAACATAAAAGTTAAAGTCTTTTATCCATCTGTGGGAGACCCATCTGCAGTATAGTGGATAGCGTTCAACCAGGACCTGGAAGCCCAGATTCACATCTGTTTTCCAGCCATGAATCTCATTGGGTGACCTTGCTATCTGTCAGTCTACAAACCCTACAAGGTTGGTGCAGGGATAAAAAACAGGGTAGAGGCAGATGCCTATACACTATCTTGAGTTACTTGGAAGAAAGCTGGAATAAAAGTGCAATAAATGAATATTTTCTATTACAGTAAAACGTTTTGCAATAACTCCTAAAACTTTGTTTCCTCCTAAATCTCTTATAATTCCATCGTCCCATTCACACTAAATGCCATGCCTTATAGTCTAAAAGATGGAAACATGGAAAATATTATGAACCAATATATTATATCCAAAACCTCTAGAGTATATTTACCTTCACTAGATATTTCCTTCCAGGGATTTGGTGGATACATAAATGCTGCATTTTGAATCTGGTCATTTATGTCTTCATCCTCATTAAATGGAAATGTACCACTAAGGCTCACGTAGATGATGACTCCCACTGACCACATATCCAGAGATCTATTGTAGCCCTTACTTCTAAGCACCTCTGGGGCGAGATAAGCTGGAGTTCCCACTACAGACCTCCGGAAAGACTTCTCACCAATAATACGTGCAAAACCAAAATCGCACAGCTTCACCTGTAAAACAAATATCCCTTGATTAAATTACCTTGAACTGAACATCAGTATCAAAAATTCATTAACTGTAATAGCCAACTCTTTAAAACAAAACAGACGGGGGTAGGGAGTTGTGCGCCAACATACAATTTTGCAAGAATTGCTCATTAGAAAAACGACACACTATACCTGAAGTGTCCAACCAGGCCACTTGGTAAATCATATGGAATGGTTCTAACTTTCGGGCTTAGTAACAATTCTCTCAGAGACCTACAAACACTGGTGTGTGGAGAATTGTTTTATGAGATGTATTCAAAGTACAAAAGATGGTGCTTTGTTCCCAAATGGCATAAAATACAGAGTTAATGAACATTTTATCCTATATTTCCTCCTGCAGAATATACAACCATTTAAAAAAAATACTTCATTCTTTCCCACCTGAGGAAATGGCTCTGCTGATGCTAATAGTACATTTTCAGGTTTTAAATCACAGTGCACTATATTCTTGAAGTGTAAATTCCTCAAAGCAACAAGTATCTAAGAAAATAAAAGGAAAAAAGTATTTTCAAAATCATTCACATCACAGAGAAAGAGATGCAACATTATGTGTCCAAGAATTGCCTAAAAGTTTAAGAATCACCAGGAGTCCTCCTAAGCCCCTCTTCTGAAAGATGTTAGGGCTAGGGAGGGGGAGAAAAGGCCCACCTTCACATGAGACTGAGGTTGGAGCCAAAGCTGTCAAATCGTTAGTGGGGAAGGGCCATAGTTCAGTGGCATAGCCTTGCATGCAGAAGGTCCCTGGTTCAATCCCCAACATTTCCAGGCATGACTAGGAAAGACTGCCTAAAACCCTACAGAGCCACTGCCAATCAATGTCCACAGTACTGAGCTAGATGGACCAATGGTCTTGCTCCTGTATAAGGCAGCTTCTTAGGTTCCCAGTGCAAAGACCATTGCACTAGTGGAGGTCTATTTCTCAATGCTGCCCACAAACCAGTGCTAGCTCACCAGCCCAACCTGCTGCCCACTCACCCACCACTGAGCCTAGGAGGCAGTGCTTTGCTTGAGAAGCCAAGCGCAACTCCAATCCATGGTGGACTGACAAGTCTCCCACCTCCCTGCCATGGCAAACCATGGAAGCTGAACAGACATTTTCCTGGTCACATTACCCAGAGTGCCTGGTTCTGAAGAGGACCTTTGGTATCAGGGCTGCTGCTACTTTAGGGTCAACAAATATTTTTAAAAAATAAATAAAAGGGAGCAGCTGGGGAAGAGAACATGACTGGTACCACAAAGAAGGGGGCAGGCAGCAGGAGATTCTAGAGGCAGAGGGTTCAGGAGCTGAACCATGCCATGGAGTCGAAAGCAACAGGTTCACTTGTTGTGCAAGAGGCTGCACTACCAGACATGTTGTAAAACTACCTTTAATTTTTCCATCCTCTACAACTTTAGCATACACATACAAGCTATTCATTTTGAAATCTTTTTCCCCCCAAGTGACATGTTAGCAGAGTAAGTTCAACACTAACTCTCTTTAATGTAGCACTATCTTGAATACAACCCTGAGTCACTGCTTTTTTGTGCTTGTTTGTGAAAGGTGCTTCTTCGAGAGCAGAAATAAAAAGGAATCTCAATCTACCAAGATTCCTGCCTGGTACATATGCTAATAAATATTAGGGGATCCAGATCCAGATCCCTACTTAAGGTCACTTTGTATATAATACTTTTCCGAAATGTTATGAAAAAGTAGTTTCCTGTGGTTTGATTTAAATTGTTTTAACAGTCTATTTTAAATAGTTGTAACCTGCCCTGAATGTGTGACAACAGAACTGTACAAGCCATTATTGAGAGCAGACTCACCTGAGTGACCATGAATTTGGTGATTCTTTCTGGAAGCCGGCTTTTCTCACTGGAAAGAATCATCTCCAACATATCTCCATGAAGTTTTTCCATTACAACAAAAACCCTTTCTGGAGTTTCAAACATACATTCCAGGTTTACAATCCCAGGGTGGTGCAAATTCTAGGAAGCATATTTAATATTGTCATGAAAAATGTACCACCATTATGTAATGAAAATCAGAAAATATCTGCCTAGGTCCTGGCTATGCTTTATTGTTTAGAAAGCACTCAAGCAATCCCTAGCAATATTTGTAGAGACAAAACACAAGCTATGGCTCTTTTTACAGTTTTCCTGTACAGCTCAGAAACTACTATAGCAGGAATATTAAAATATACAAAAGCAAGACTACGCAGAGATTGTACCCAGCTATGTCAACAATGATCACACAGAAGCGCCGTATGTTCACAGCTCTGAAACATGCAGAGTCAAGCCTCTGTACAATTCAAGCCTCTGATTGCTCACATACTCACAGTATTTCAATAATAAACTTATTCCTATGATGTAACAGAACAGATTCAAATAATCTTTGTACCTGCAAAATGGCCACTTCATTGCGCAGCTGACTTTCCTGTTTTGTGGGGAATCGCATTTTATCAATGACTTTAATTGCCACATCCCTTCCAGTCTTCCTATGTTTTCCTACATAAACACACACAGAGTACACACTTTAGTATCTCCAACCTAACAAGGAGAGTCAGAAACAAACTTTTTGCACAGAAGGTAGATATTTGTGATAAATGTGTATTTAAATATTACACTGAAAAACAGAGAGGGAAATATATCTGTCATTTACAGATTTTCAGCCAATACCCATGAGAAGAGAGAGCTTGCCTCTTATCCCCACCTGACATTCACATGGTAGATTTCATGCTTGCATAGGGGCTGTGGCCACATGATCTGTACACCACAATATTAAGAATGTACAGTTTGCATGAATATGGCATCTGCATCTGTTGGACTTGAAGCATTCAGGTTCCTATGCAAATGTGAAGTCTACATGATTATCACATGAGAAAAAGGATGGGAAGTAGTATAACCCTAATCGCAATCTCAGATGAAGCATGCAAAGTGCTGAAGCTTGCATCATATCAAAGTGCTTCCCCCTGCTTAAGGCAATTATTGCTCTGCTGTCTAGATCTCTGTGGTTAAGATCTCACCTTAAGACCAAAATCCCTGCATGTCCAAGGAGAGAATAACACTTTCATTTTAGTGGGGTGGGCTTCTTCTCAGTCCTTAATTTGCATGGGGATATTTTTGATACACCTTTACTAATATGGGCATAGAGCCTGACTCAACAAAATCATTGTTTAGCTCCGCTCTCAAGGTGCAGAAGTGAGAGGCAACAGAGTTTGCTTGAAACAAATCAGAATTTCAAAACTTGCTCCTTCGGGGACTCTTCATGTATTACAAACATAGCTTTGAATGTGCAAAGAGACTTGCTTATATTCACAGTTTTAGCCACACTCACTTATAAAATAAAATTACTACTTATCTTCCACAGATGAGGAATTTAGGCTGAGTTAATAAAATGTTCCAGAATTACTGAGTGAGTTAATAAAAGGATGAAGATCAGAATCGAGATTCTACCTACAGGACAACCCTAGCTTCTATCACATTGCACTTCAGCTGATATGGAACAAAACATACAAAAGCCTTGATACTCACAACATTAATGAGAAAAGCTGATCAGTTTATTTAAGATATGCACAAAATATACATAAGGGGCTAAAAAGAATGCTAAAGAAATGCTACTATTTTAGAGGCCTAGCTAGACCTCACCTGGAGTTCTTTATTCAGTACTGGTGATTCTGTAATTAGTCAGGGTACAATAATTGCTCTGGAAGATAGTTGCATGGAGCAAGTAGAAAGAGTACCTGCCTTACAGATTTAAGTGTAAGTAAAAAGTAGAAAAAAGATAGGCTTATTATCACTAGATTAAAAAGAAAGGCAACCCAACAGTAACATTCCATAACTTCTGCAAGGTAACAGAAGAACCAACTGAATGGGAATTAATGTTGTAAACCAGGCAAGCAATTGCATAAGAGACAGAAACTGTCTCTTGAACTGGAACCATTGAATTACTTTCTCCTAAACTGAGAGAAGATCTAGCATGAAGCAAAGCCAAATATCACAAGTCTGAACTTGCAGTGATTGTTTAGTCAAACTTACCTCCATACACAACACCAAACTGACCAGAGCCAAGCACCTCATCAGCAAAGATCTGGTATACGGAACTGATATCCTAGGGGAAGAGAGGGTGCAGGCAGGGGAAGGTAAATATTATGTTCAATTACTTCAGTGACAGAGGCAGAAGCTTTAAGAGCTACACTTGGACACAAAAAGGGAAAGAAAGTCTTTGTTTATAACCCAATTAAAAATTACTCCAAAAAAGGGGAGTAAAAAAGGTCCATTCCCACCTGTTAAAACCTATTCACGCTAGCATTGTTTACCATGTATAGTAACTTGTGTGACAGAGATGAGAACAGCATACAAAAATAACATTTACAAATTTATTTGTAATTTATTTGCAAATTTACAAACTGCAGTGCAATCTGCATTCCTTAAACTTGTCTCCAGCTGTGTAATGATAAAGCATACAAACCAGCCTTTCTGTCAGCATGAATGTGTGCTCATATACTAAGGGCAGTCTATATGAAAATCCCATCAGAACCATAGATCTTTATTTCTTTAGCATGGCCAGTCAAGAACATTTGCCACATTGTAGATGTAATCTGTATATGCAAAAGAGGAGCTGCAACCAATGATGGATTCCTGACAACTGTACTTGTAGTAAGCACATTGTCACACATATTTGTAATATGAGCAAGAGTAGGGCTGGGCCCCAGATTTGGCATCACTACCTCATTTATGTCACTGGCACAGGGTGAAACTCATTTAGCCACCACCAGACCTGCTCTAAGGTGATCTACAGGAAAACATTCCAGAATTTCTGGGCGCATTCCAGAGAGCATTCTGACCTCACACTAAGCAGTGCTTGACTAGAAGAATCTGTCTGCCTCACAAACAAAAGTCAACCTTGAGATGAGGGAGAAAGAAAACTGAGCACAAAAGTAGAAGCCATGCCCTTTTGATATGGGCACATGAAAGGTGGGGACAGGACACCTACTAAAACTCTAGCCTAGCTAGAGACATTTCCCAAAGAGCTCTTAACAGGCACTGAACCAACATGTGTGAATGCCCAGAAACAAGAAACACAGGTCCTCTATCCTACAAACCTGGCAGGCATATCACTAATATAATAAACAAAAGACTAGGGAAGCAGAGTACAAACCACACATCACCTAAACTACCAATAAAATAAAACATTTCAGTTAGGTAAAGGTAAAGTAAATGACCCCTGGACAGTTAACTCCAGTCAAAGATGACTATGGGGCTGTGGTGCTCATCTCGCTTCAGGCTGAGGGAACAGGCGTTTATCCACAGGCAGCTTTCTGGGTCATGTGGCCAGCATGACTAAACCACTTCTGGAGAAATGGAACACCGTGATGGAAGCCAGAGCGCAAGAAATGCCATTTATCTTCCCGCCAGAGTGGTACCTATTTATCTACTTGCACTGGCGTGCGTTCAAACTGCTAGGCTGGCAGGAGCCGGGACAGAGCAATGGGAGCTCACCCCATTGCGGGGATTCGAACCACCGACCTTCCAATCGGCAAGCCCAAGAGGCTCAGTGGTTTAGACTACAGCGCCACCCGTGTCCCAAAACATTTCAATTATCCTACCAATGTTCTACCAAAACTACAAATCCTATACATATTCATTTAGACGTTCTGTCAAATTCAATCAGGCTTGCTTTCAAGTAACTGGGCAAAGGACTGCAGCATTTGTTTTCCTAGACTATGGGGTTTCCCTTCCCCCCAGATAACCTACTATAAGAAGGCATTGAAGTATGGTTTTAGATCAGAACATGGATGCACATTTCATGCTTGGGGAACAAAGTCATTCCTCCTTTTGGGAAATAACTACCAAAAAGGCAGCCCCCAACAATAGTATTTTTATAATAATAATAATAATAATAATAATAATAATAATAATAAAGCCTTAATTCTCATCCAACAACTGATAATGGCTTTACATTATAGGTTCAAAATTTGGCAGTAATCTTTATTGTATTTAGTTCAATTCCTGCATATCAAGTGGGGGAAGGGATCAAACTTAAAAAGTATCATTTACAAGGCTTCTCTTTTTGCATTGCTCACTACTAAAAAGGTTAAGAAACTTTACCATATATAGATTTTTTTCAAACAAGTCATTGTTGCCTAATGGGAACAATGTGTTCTTCAGCTTTTCATTTGTCTTTATCTCCAATTATTTTGATACAAAATAGCCATCGGGAGACAACTGATAACAATCCAGCTACAATAGTATTTACATTTTGTGACTCACCACATTTTCTTGGATCTGGCAATTCGAAACAGAAATGCTGACAGATAATTCTTCTGCAATGAGAAAATATACATGTTTTTAATGTGGAAGCAGTATTACAATGAAAGACCAATGTCCTAGCAGCCAAACATTTATTGACATTCCAATTAATATGTGAAACGTAGCCTTGGCACTCTGCATCACATTTCCAAACACCTCTTTGTGTTCCCCTAACAGACAGCTTTCAAAATCTCCCTTGTACCGAGCTCTACCACCACAACAACACAGAATATTTTTCTTCAGTTCTATTTTGTCACTGGCCATCAACATTGCCCGTGTTCCTCCTTCCTTCAAGACATTTGCTCTCCTTATGTCTCCACCTCGAAGGAACTAAGGAATTTATAAGCACATGCGTTTTTCTTATGTACAAGTCAAATAGGCTTACAGAATGTATTGCATGACTGTTACACAGGTCTGAACCTAAACACCAGTCTTTGAGGGCATTAAGCATTGCCAGAATCTCCTTTAATTCAACAGTCAGACAACCCAGTCCTGCTTTTCATCACAAGTTCTCCATTCTTTGCCTCTAGCTCAGAGCTGCAATGTGCCAGGGCTCAGCCTTATTTTTAATACAAGGAGAATCACGAAAAATCCAGTCCAAGCTGTTTCACCCCACCACCCTTCTATTTAGCCCTCCCTGTCCCCCACCCCACACAAATGCACTGTTCTTGGCTATGAAGCACACATGTTGTAATTCCACCTGTCCTCCCCTCAGGTCATGCCTTCCTTAGCCCAGTGCCTACTCATTTATCTTTCTGTCAGGATTCTAATCCTCCTCTTCACCGTCAACACCCATGTCACCACCCTCTCTCTTCCTGCCATCAGTACACAGTTCCTCCTGCTCCTAGGACAATGGTTCTCTGCATGTTTTTTTCTGTAAGCCAAATTGACTTCTCAGTTCCTCCACTGAAGCTGTGTTACATGTCAGCATTCTACGAGCAGGGTCCTGCTTGCTCTATAGTTAGAAGATAAATGGCATGACTTCAGATGAGTTTAGTCAATGGCTACAACTCACACAGGAAGGGAAAGAATTTTTGGAAAGGCTACACTAGCAGCATGAGGCCTGCTTTCAACACCGGGCTAGGAAGAGTTGCATTGTTTACTCATATGGTGTTCCACACAGTTTCAGTTTTAAAATCAGGCCCTTAATCGTTACATATATAGAATTAATAAGACAGGAATCAACTCCAAGAGGCACCGCACTGACGTACTAACTAATGCTAAATATGTAGCAGTTGAAGGTCTGATTCAAATACAGAGCCAGCCCCATGACATGTTGCAGGCATAAGTAACCCATAAAATATTTTGTTGAACCAGGGCCCATTACTTCACAGATCTCCATTAGGAAGAAGAGAGTGCTTCTGTGCTCTTACTGTGATCTTTCCCTTGTCCTGCAGCAGTGCAAATGCTAGCCTGAGGCGTGACTGGCATCAAAGCCTGACGAATAGCTTTCTCCCAGCTCTGCGCTACATCCAGTCCCACTCCAGTAGCAGCCAAAACAGGATTATGATGATTGCTGCCATTGTTCTCGCCAACAAAGTACACCATAGTGTCAGTGATTATTTCAAAGCAGTGTGGGTTGCTGCCTTGCACCACGTTTGAGAAGTCCCGCGGCTGAGTCACCTGAAGAATTTCAGAAAGCGGAATCTCCTAAAGGAAACAAAAGGTGTTAAACACTAAGAGTGGAGGGCATATGCAACAATAACAAAATGTATGCTACTGAACTCAAGTAGAAATATTTTGATAGCACTGAGTGGCCTTGACTTTAGTCCCTCTTTAGGTTCCTTGGGATTGCACAAATATTACAATCAAGAAGGGCTGCTAATAAAGTTTTGTCTTTGCTCTGGACCCAACTGGCATTTTCCTCCCACGATACAGTTTGGAATTGCCTTTCATCTCTGGTGCTACATTGTCCACAGAATCAATCTTTCTATAGCAGCCCGATGACCCAGTTCATCATTACAGAATCACCATACCATATCCAAAGTGATAAGACCTTTCACCATCCACTCAGCAAGCAAACATAATTGCTTATTTTCAGTTTTACAGCCTGTCAGGTGCTTTGTAAGCCTTCTTATTCCCAGCTATGTCACAGGACAGGATCAATTTTGGCTCCCTCAATCCTTTGCCTCCTCCCATATATGCTATCCTTTTCTTCACTAAGTATTCTACTTCTGTTACCCCAGTCCCTCAAACATTCACTAGTCTGGTTTCAAGGGGCATAAAATATCCATGCATGGCTGGGCACTGTAACACACAAATAAACAGATAAAGAACTGTACACAAGAGACACGGTGCACCTTCATTAAAAGAACATCTCAATCTTAACATACCTATGATATTTAGGTTTCAACAGTTAATACACAAATAGAGTATTGTGCAGAGAAAAGGATGTAAATGAAGGATTTCAACTACAGATTAACATTAGGGGAACAACACTTTAGATGGAAACTGACATAAGTAAAAAAAAATGAGATTTATATTATCACTTACCTTGTAATACTTTGTCCCAGATTCGTTCTGAAATAGTGTAAGACATTTACTATCCAGCCTCCAGTAATGTCTTTTTCTCTGCAACAAATTATGAGAGGGTTTCTCTTTAAGACACAGACATTGGTACCCTATAGCAGAATCCATGTTAGCAATTTCAATGGCCTGTACTGATGATGACCTTTAAAGGTTCTATCAGCTATGCTTTTCAAATCAGTACCTACTCTCAAGCTCAAGCCTGTGCAGCAATGCATAGGACCAAGATGTTTCTCAGTACCTCCTGTGCCCCCCCTTTTTTTTCTGTGACCACCTCCTATCCCAGGGCAGCAGCAGTAGGTATCACTGTCCCAACACTTTGGGAAAGTCCCCATCAGGCAAAGAGGGTAACTTTAAGACTCAAGACATCTGAGCAGGAAAACAATGGAAGGGGGAGGACAATACTGTGACCCCATTTTCTAGCTGCTCCTCAGAGGCTGCAACAGAGATGGCTCAGGAAACTCAGCAAACAGAAGCCCAACATACAAACAAGGCTTCTGTTGGTTACAATGGCAGACAGAGCTCAGCCAGTACAGAGAGTTCTTTCTCCTCCCATAGCTAGTACTGAAGAAGCCCTGCTTGCATAAACAGAGCAGCACAGATCATTTCCTTTCTTGAGAGTTTTAAAGCAATTTTTAAAGCAAAAAATAGGTGAGGAATTTGTGGTTCTCTAAATGTTGGACTACAATTCCCATAAACTCAGCTATTGGTCACGCTAGCTTGCTTTGAAGGAGTTGGGAGCCCAACAGTATCTGGAAGGCCACAGTTTCCCCATACCAGACTTAAAATAACTAAAAGTAAATATCACACTGAAAAGTAGAGGTAAAATTACTGACCAGGTTGTCTCTGCTAGTGTAATGAACCATCCATCCTTCCTTCACCATTGTACTGCTCTTCCTCTTTGTGTGCTTGATTGATTGCACAACCCTCATTAATGGAATATTATTGCTTGTCGATGGGCTGTTGAAAAAAGAAACGCATGTCTCTAATCATACATATTTCAGCACACCCTATAGCTGTGCTATAATTCAGGATAAACTTCAAGTAGAATATTCTTGACTATTACTTGCATCTTAAACAAAAATCTTCTAAAGATAAAACATTATGTAGGGCACATCATGATCATACAGATGACAAGAGAGTTGTTTTTAAAATCACTAACCCTCCCCCACCCAGATTAGGCAAGACACGTTACCATGTTAAGGGGCTATGACTCAGTTTTAGATGAGGAGTAAAAGTCCTTTACAACATTATAGAAGATGCCAAGGCAGACTTATTAACTCTTCGGCAGCAGGTCACAGTAAAGCCCAAACCTGCCTTATGAACCAACAAAACAAGGGGTCCTAGGAGGGTTTCTTTCATCAAACCAAGCCTGAATATAAACTCAGTCCTCTTTCCACATATACACACATCCAACAGCAATAGAAACAGTAACAAAGAGCAAAAATTTATCCTTCATTAAGTTTTATCCTAAATTAAAACCATCTTCCTGTGCTCCTATTTTTCTTGAAGGGAGAGATAAGTACTATAGCAGCTATCCTGAATTGTGCCCAGTGGGATAGGAACTCAGCTCCACTTCCACTCTGAAATCTTCTCATGGGAGGAGAGGACAAGCACAGCCTAAGAAAGATGGTACCAAGCAGGGCCCTGCATTCTGGTTGCCATGTACTGAGTCCAAGCCTGAGTCCAAGCCCTGTCTGTACATTGAGGGTGAGGAACTTTTCTCAGGCCAAGGGCTGCATTCCCTTCTAAGCAACCTTCTGGGAATCACATGCTGGTGGGAGGCAAGGCCACAAGCAAAAGTGGAGACGGTAACAGAAAGAGCCGTCAACATGAATTTTACTTTTGTACGGTAGACTAGTTTTTACACACATCCACCCACTCTTCTCTATCCTCCATGCAGGCAAGCAGGAAGCGTAATCAGAATCTAAGGACATACACCCTCCACACAAAAACACTCAAGGAGGGTCAAAGCAGTGCTACAGAGGGGTATGGCCTTGGCAGAGGAGCTGTGGCCGGGAAGAGTCTCAAGGACTAGATAGAGAGGCACAGAGGGCCACATCTGGCCCCCAGGCATGAGGTTCCCCACCCTGCTAGAGAGGAAAATGATTTGAAGCACACAGTAGACATGAATTGAGCTTTAGGTAGATAATGGTCTTGCAATCCTCCCTTTCATTCTCACTACATCCCAGTGAAATCTGTCTTTATTATTCCTACTTTACAGTATGGAGCTAAGGCTTAAATTTCTTTAAGGCCACCTAATGAGTCCACGGCTGAATACTATTCTAAATCCATTGCTCTATTTCCATAAACTACACTGGATCTCATCTTTTATAAACAATAGTATGAGCTGTAATTCAAATAATTTACTCTAGTAGTACATATACGAGTAAAAACACATGACCCTTTAGAGGTCACATCCAATGAGCCAAAAGTTGTTTCCTTTAACCTAACTTGCAACACACACAAGGAGCAAAATTGATTCCTTATGTAACTCCATTCAATCAATTGACTTGCATTAGGACTGGAATGAGTTTGGCCTAAGGTCAGGAGAATAAAGTAGCCCTATAAATCTAGGTCAGCATAACATTTTCCATCAACTAGTCAGTATAGCTAAGCATTCTTCAATAATGTAATTTATTTCCATGTTGACGCTCACAGGGGATTCTACTTCCAATAGGTTCAAGCCTACATACTTTCACATTTAATCAATTCTGTTAATTGCTGTTTTTCACTTATGCTGAAGAGTGAGAAAGCATCTCTTGTAAAACCAATAATAAATAATAAAAAGTGAACAGCAAAATTCATTCTCCTCTCAACAGAAAAATTTCTTTAATAGGGAGCTTCACAGACATGCAATGCAATGCTTTGATTTTACAAACCTGATAGTTTTGACAGCCTCTTCATCTTTGTCCCCATCTAGATCTGCTGGATCCATAAAAAACATTTTGTCTTCTGGGGGAGAGGGTTCTTCTGTATCATCCAAGCTCCTACCTCCATCACTGTTCATTTCACTGCTGTCAACCTCCATTGGCATATCCATATCTTGACCTGGACTAGCCGGTTCTTATTCCATATAAAAACAAAAGGTTCCAAAATATTATTATTCATTCATATTATTCATGTTAGAAAAATCATTTACATCACAATTTTAGTCAGGAATGAATTAGAAATCTGTTGCAGCCGTCAGTACATATATAACAAAATCAAATATACTCAATCAAACACAGCCAAGACAGGAGAAAAAGTAAAAACAATTGGGCTATGTTTTTGTTTTACTAAGGCCACTTCATGCTATGTAGGTACTTCCTGACACAGGGCAATTCTCCATCAGTGGAAAGTTGGCATCATCATAGTTCTTCCACCTCCTGTGCCAGCCAACTCCCTCTCCTCTGATGCAAGAACATCATGACTATGTCTTTCCAGGGAAGGGTGTGGACAGGATGGGAATCAGAGAACAGAACTCTCTTTACACCTGGTTCAATACTAATGCAAGTTAAACCCAGCTTTCTGCTGCTTCAAACAGAGCAGGGCAGCCAAGGATAGGCAGCCACAACTGCCACACACAGGGTTGATTTTTCTAGTATCTTTAGACAGGCACAGAGACAAAATAATGAAGAAGGAATTTTACACAAACATGCTCTCCAACATTTCTTCTTTAGAAAAGATTCTGTAAATTCTCCCCTACACAGAGGAAATTAGGAGTTATGTGATGCTAGCAATTAAAACAGAGGTGTGAAACTAGGAAGCCAGTTCCATCAGAGTGCAAAGGGTATAATACATCAATGGCAGCTACTGTGAGGCTCCAGAATCAACTTCTGGCATTGCGTTGCCCAACTTTTTTGTGCAGTGGATAAATCTGAGAACCTGAGAAAATGTTCTGCGCACCGCAACCACACTTACACACATTCAAATTTCCACCCTGCTATTCATTAGGGTTAACCTTCCCTCCCAAAAGAAAGATCATGCCCGTCCCCCCAACTACTAGGCTTGAAAAAAGCCTTGCATTGGAGTCAATTTTCAACCCTAATTTTAGTGAGTTTTTCAAGCCGGGCAGGCGAGTGTCACAGCTCAGCATACAAAGGTTAATCCAAACACACACACACTGTAATATGCTTGAAAATAGTCTTCTACTGACTACAGCAGAAGAATTCCTTCAAGTTTTATTGCAACAGGGAGAAGCAGCGGGATGCTGAAGGCACCAGTGAAAGCATATGCTGTCCAAACATATTATCTTCTTCCCTCAATTTCAGTATCTAATGGAGAGATCCCAATCCCCAGTTCCCACGGCTGGTAAGGTCCAGAACTGCACATAGGTAGGTCCCCCCACAGACCTCTACCAAGGGGGCAGGCACCACCACTGCAGAAGCCCCTATTATGCCTGCAAAGGTGCAATAGGTTTATATTACCAACACAGTTACCACTGACATCTAGGCCCCAAACAACTTATGCCCCCAAACTTGGGATTCTGAAGGATCCAGCAGAGGCTTGGATCCATTGAATCCAAGACCCTTCATTCTCCAAAGAGACCCTGGACTGGGCCTTAATATCATGAGACATTGGGGGGGGGTCCAGATCAGGATGAGGGGTGGGAAAAGTTGGAGGAGTTAGCCCAGGTACCCCGAGGAGGGACCCATTGAAAACCACACCAATCATTGAAACAAATTAGGCAGAGCAGGGAGAGAGAATAGAATGTGAAGTGAAACTATGTAAAAGGAAAACACTGGGTAAGGTCTGCCCCCTCCTCACTTCCTGCCCTGGCCTGCACAGGCCAGCAAGACTTTGGAGGGAACAGTATATTCCCCAATGTGCATCCTACACTTCACTAACACTGAATCCCACTTAGAACTGCGTAGAAACTCAACTGAAATTGATGGTTTGGTGTCCTTAGTTAGGGCACATAAGTCACATCTAAAACATCTGCCTCACATGCATGTGAGATTGCTTACCCCATTCTGACCCCACGGGGTGGGGCTGGGGAAAATCAGGTAATTTGCCCATTCACACTTCTTATCCCTTCCATCTGCATATGTGATGAACCTCAAAGATTCCAAGAAGAACTGCCTTCCCTTGGTTGGTGGATACCTTACCTACCTGGCCAGCTAACCGCCACCACCCCCAACTGAATCTTCAGAGGGGTTTTTTTTTTTAAAGAAAAGGCAAGGTCTTTAAATGATCTCCATCTCTCCCTTGAATGCCTTCTATGAATTGCCTAGGATGACCCATGCTGTTCTGCATGTCAGCTGAAAATAATTTGTAAATTACTAAGATTGCCTTGGATAGCAAATAGAAGTTTCCTTATATTTAAAACAGCTTTCTATTTCTTCCAGTGCTTTAAATAAATCTGCTCTTGTAATTTGAACTCTGGGATTGGTTATGTTTTTGCATAGCTGTGGGATCTGGTCTACTCACCTTGCCTAGCATTTCCCCACCCTCTATGCTTTTAAGGAGAGAAACTGAGAATTACATATTGGACTGCTGCCATAAGCAAGGCAGGAGTCTAGAAAAGCATTCCCCGCTCTCAGAATACTATAAATACTTCAGGTCTAGATTTCTTTACTGCCAGACCTAGTAATACTTAAATGGAAAATGGTGGTGGTGGTGCTACCCAGCATAAATTACCCAGAGAGCCTTGCAGCCTACCCTAGCACAATATCCTATGGCTCCTGAGACACTCTCCTAGGGACCACAAGACTGAATACTCTTTCAATGGAAATTCACTATCAACTTTGCTGAAGAGACCAAAGTTGTTAATATATTTCACTTCAGCAGATAGGGAGCACATTCAGTCAACTCAAGTATGTAAAAACATTTACAAAATACCCAAATTTAAATATATACGTACTTCTATCTCATCTTTTAAATATATTGCAAGTCACACTGAAAATCAATGCACAAATAATTATTTACGATTCAGAACATGTTTGCTCTTACCTCCATTGAACACAACTTCTCCAAGACAATCTTTGGGTACTTTAGAAGCACAACGTTTGTGACAGTTAAATCTGCAGTCTAAAGCAAGAAAAAATGGTTTCTTTCACTCATACATTTATGAAGAAACTCTTTAAATATCCCTTACATGACACCTACATTTTATTTATTTTGGGGGTGTATTTGTATCTAAGCACTCACCAAGTAGCCATGTGCAACAAGAAATTGCATGCAGGAGTATGAACCATCCCTCCTCTCTGCCTTCCACAGAAACCAAGTGGGCTGCCAGTGGAGAAAAACCAGTAGAAAAATGCCAGCAGAGGAAAGGCAGCACAGAAAAGCAATGGGGTGCTGGAAGAACACAGCTAGGCCCCAGCAGGTTCTTTTTGCAGGCTTATTTACCACTGTTATGTTCTTGAAAAGGATGTCCCCAGACTGTTTCTTTTAAATTGTACATAAAAGATTTTGTGTATGTTAATTTGCAAACTTCATTACTGAACTCTCTACTTTAAAATATCTCTACTGCTATGAAACTAAAAAACTAATCCCTACACAAACAACGTATTATTGAGTGCCACAAGTAACTAAGCACTTCACATACAAAATATAAGACAAGGGTTCATACCAAGTAGTAAATATACAGAGGCATATGTCTGCGGGGGGAAAGAAAAAAGGTGATCCATGATCTGGAGACACAGGCTATTGATGGCATATAAACAACAAAACTATACTGCCATGTTGAATCACAGATTACATTTGAGACTTAGGAAAATAAGTGGGTTTCTCAGCTAAGTATAGTAATACTATATTTTACACACTCCTTAAAATTTTAATAAGAGTATAAATCAAATGCAAACAGCTTTTTTAAAGTGGGGATGGCTTTATAAATACTTGCTTTGCCAATAGGCTACAACAGGGATCTGCAACTGGAGGTTAATCTGCTGGACCACACCCCAGCCTCCCATCTGGTCCCTCACATCTCCTTCATTGGAGGTTTTTTAAGAGGTTGAATGGCCATCTGTCAGGGATTCTTTAGCTGTGATCCAGCATTGCAGGGGGTTGGGTCCCTTCCAACTCTACAATTCTATGATGCTGTGCATATCAATTGCAAAGTTTGTGGTCCCATGTCTAATACTAAGAGAGTGAAGGTGAGAAGGTAGGAGTTTCTGTACACTTGGGATATTCTATGTTTGTGAAAAACCACAATAGTTTTGCCTGGTTTTTTACTTCTTCTTTTTAAAAGCTACAAAGAGGACTTAGTGGAGTAGTTCAAAGCTTGCATCCCTTCTTGCTGAAATAATTTTAACTCAGGCTTTGGGTTTATGGCTAAGAATACGAAAAAGCTGTACAAATAACAATATTAACCTTGCAGCAGTGAATACTCTTACCTTTACACTGCATTCCTTGGCGGAAGAGACCCTTGAGCAATCGTTTGCAGTACTGGCATATGGTGGGTCGAGTGTAAGAATGAACAGCAAAGGTATGTGGAACCTTCACCCTGCAGAGCACCATCTTTTCCATCCATATTGGACGCCCACTCCAGGAAGGAATCCTCTTACTGGGCTCTAGAAGGGGACGCTGAAAAGAAAAGCAGACATGCAGGGCGTGAACTTGGGGTGCAGACCTAATTCTCCTGATATTTTCCCTAGGCTCCTAACATTCCTAGCTCCCCAATCCTTTCCAGGCCTCCTTTACCAACAAGACTATAGCAAACTAGAAGAAGAAGAGTTTGGATTTGATACCCCGCCTTTCACTCCCCTTCAGGAGTCTCAAAGTGGCTAACATTCTCCTTTCCCTTCCTCCCCCACAACAAACACTCTGTGAGGTGAGTGGGGCTGAGAGACTTCAAAGAAGTGTGACTAGCCCAAGGTCACCCAGCTGCATGTGGAGAAGCGGGGAAGCGAACCCGGTTCCCCAGATTACGAGTCCACCGCTCTTAACCACTACACCACACTGGCTCTCCCCACACTAAAAGGCAACCGGTTGGCCACTGTGAGAACAGGATGCTGGACTAGATGGGTCTTTGGTCTGATCCAATAGGACTCTTCTTATGTTTCTACTTAAGCCTGGAAAAAGTATCTAAGGAATCTAAATAACACAGAAGCCATATATTGCTACACCAACCTAGGTGCGAGCTGAAACCAAATAGTTGGCATTTACCAGTGATATTAAACAGCCCTCCTTAATACTTCAGAAGACATCCGCCATCACTTTTAATAGGCTCCATGCCTTGTTTTTGCTATGGCCACCGGCTGGTGTTTAATTCCTTAAAAGTGAGTGAGATGAGAGTTCAAGTCAGACTGAGGGTCTGATCTAACCTGATCAAGCCCTTACTGGATTGCAGACGGGGTGGATTTTTATTAATTTAATACAACTGTAACATCTACACTCATGAATGGAGCCATCCACCTTTCAAGCAATAGGGCACTGTTGAACTATATATTCATCCTATTACATTCCAAATAGCAATAAATCAGGTTCTTAAATCCTACTTTTACCTAATATATGTAATATTTCCATTGTTAACCTTAATCACCTAGTGTTAAGTGACTGATTTGGTTATAAACACACACAACACACAAAAAAGTAAAACCATATTAAATTTGCTGTGCTTTGGGGGGGTAGAATAAGAAAGGGGAAGTTGCTAGTGATTATACCTTGCATCACGCTCTTCAAATGGTTTATGGCAACATGCACCATGCCAAAAATGGGATTATGTCATGTGTTGGTAAGTGTTCGGCTTACAGATTTAGCATCTAGTCACAATTACTTCACAAATCTGAACCATTAAACCATTTGTTCTTACACTGATATCCTACTTCTGGCATAAATTTTGTTCTCAGGAAGTCACCCATCCAAGCACTGACCAGACACAGACCTACTGAGCTTCAGCAAGATGGTGTCCTCACACGATTTCAGACTATACTTTATTATTTTATTATGCTTTTATATTTTTTATATATCAGTTTTGATATTTTGTAGAAGAGTGCTTTAGAAGCTTAGCAACAAACTTTTCACGGAAAATCTCTGGAATTGAAAATCTACTCTAAGGCTATTTGAGCAGCTGAACATCAGCACAAATTAAATCAGAACACAGATAAGGAGCTCCAGGAGCCCCACATATTTACGAAAGGAAGGTTTGGGGTTATGTGCCTTGACACATGACAGTAGCTTGTGCAACTTGAATGGAATCCCACCTTAAGAGAGAAAAAAATCATCTAAATACCTCTTCTGTGGCTGCGACTGTGTATTCAGTTTGCACTGATCTTGGGACTGAAAGTGCAGATCCTGGTAAAGATACATTAGATAAACGCCTCTTTCTTACACCACTGCAGTTGTTTGGGATCTTGAAGGCGCATCGCTTGTGGTAGTTTAATCCACACCCTAATAAAATTAGCATTAGGGAAGGAGGATAAACAACTTACTATGAATGATACCATTCATTTAAATAGAACTGACAGTAATAAATTAGGATCATATTTTCAGAAAAGACAGATCAAGCCAAAACATGGTGAATTTGACTCTCAATATAATTTTAATAATCTCCTAGCACAACGGAGTGGTGGTGTAATTATCAGCAGATCTGTGTAATGCATGGAATTTTTTTGGCCTGAATACTTGCTTTTCTGACCCTGCTTCACCCTAGCTAAAGCCTGAAAACGGGGCCTGTTATGCAATACATGTTGCTGCTGATCTTCCTCAGCTCTCTTTCCCCTGGCAGACTATCTAAACAATGTACTCCTGGCTCAGCTGGAACCGCAGGAGTTGAGTAAAAGCCAATAAGCATGAAGTGTCGTGTTACTAATACCTGGACAACAGCCTGTTGACAGGAGAACTGAGGAAGGTACTGCAGCCAAGGGCCACATGAAAAGGTATGCCCATTCAGAACTTTATTTGCGTGTTATAAAAAGCTGTGACAAGAAAAGGAAACATTTCTCTAATCAACACGTCAGACCAAAACATTTGTACCAGCATGTTTGTCTGCAGCATTGGCATAATGCTACAGCTTCCAATGTTGCACTGACATTAGCTTTGCATACCCGAAACCTAATATGACAGCCCTAAAACCCTTAGGATTGGGTTGTTTATATCTCTGTAGCACTGTCAAACAGAAATTTTGCTTGCCACAGAAGAAAGCCATTATCGGGGAGGATGTGGTTGCTGACTTGGTAAGACTTTTAGAAAAACAAATTCAAATAATAACATGTCTTGCTCTTTGAGTTACACCTACTATGTTTTATTTTTAAATATGACTGAAGTACAATACACAAAATCACTGAAAGTGTGTATTGTCATGGACAATAGATACATGGACATAGATACATGTCATACTTAAGATGCACTTACTGACAAACTTACCTTCACATTTCAACCCTTGTCGTACCAAGCCCCAAAGCATCTCTCCGCAATAGTCACAAAAAGTGGGAGCCTTGTAAGAATGCACATATAGCATATGAGGACGAATCTGGAAATCTTCGACTGTAGCCAATGCTTTTAAAAAATACATTATAAAACAGGAGTGAGTCCCACTTGATTACAGCAATATTTATAGGTATGATTGACTGGAATGATTTTTTAAAATAATGGTAGCCTCAGCAAACTGCCTTTGGTAGAAACTGATGACTATGCTCAACTCCTATAAAGCATGTATTGTAAGACATACAACTATATACATTTTTTTAAAAAACAAAAAACAAACCTGTTTTTTTAATAAAGGTTGCATGAAGGACTTTCTACACTATTTAGAACACAGTGATTGCTATTGTAGATCAAGTAACTGACAATTTACTAATTCCAAAAATTCAGAAGATAATTAAGATTATCCAATTGTTACACGCAAATTCAACCATTTTCATCTGTAGAAGCTGGTTCAGTAAGGTGTCATTTCATCTACTTTATTCCAAGTAACCTTTAATATTTATAAAGCAGTCCACAAATTTCAACCATTTTGAAGCAATGGTAATATCATGGCTTTATGTAACAACAAGGGAACCACATTGAAAACCTATTTACCAGAGAGAACAACCTCAACGAGGTCACCTTCACGTATTTCTTCAGCTGATGTAATCCGCTGTAAAATATTTTCTGAGTTCAGGTCATGGCGGAACAGGAGAATTTTGTCATACATGCCAAAAAAACCACACTCTGGGAACTGCAACAACAAAAAAGCAGACTCCAAATTACAGCATGTCATAATTTGCTCATCTCAAACTGAGACAAATCTCCAACTACTGCCACTACAGAAATCCTGAATGCATGCATTCTCCTTAATAACTTCTGAAAAATAGATGTGTTGATGAAGATAAGCTGAAAGTTAAAAGGTTTGCAACAGAGGCTACCTAATGTTGAATGATATAAAGTTTTTGTGCTATTGTCTCATTGGCCTTGACAGAGTAGTTGGTGATGAACTAAAACATACAAAAACAGCTATCCATAAAAAAAATATACTTGCCTTGCTAATACTGTAAGATTTTAAAGCAATGAGGTGAAATGTGTTTTTTCAATCTCAAACATACTCAAATCTAATTACAGGTTAGATGGGCCCACACAACCATGTGCAATATACGTAATGAAACCATAGAATAAACATGCATAATATCTCCTCTTCAGATAGAAGACGTAGCAAGTGAAACTTGGCGCATGCTACTATTGGTATGTGAACCAGGCAGAAGAAATACTGACTACAGGATTCAGATAGATTTCTCTCCCTCCCCATTTCTTATTTACATAGGGAAACAGCCAGAAGCCAGCTAAGCGTGTATGATTAAATGTTCCAATGTTCAGATCCATTCTATAAGGTGCATGAACTCCAGAGAAGGTCGGAACCTTTCTATGTTACAAAATGTACACTTTCCTGACAACTTTCTGAACAAACTGTAAAATTAGTTTTATTTATTTAAGGAACTTTCTTCCCACTCTTCTGCCAAAGATGACTGCCAGAGTGGCTTACAAATGGCACTGATAACAATCCCTGCCCTCAAATTTACAATCTAAGATACGTAATAAAAAAGGAAAGTGATTGGAATGGGGGGGGAGGAAACTTCTTACATATAGAGGAATGACCAGCTAGAATGGGAAAAACTTGAGGAGAGGAGTCCCCAAAAGAGCCTTTCAGCCTGATGGAATAGCTGCTGTTTCTGATAAAGAAAACTATAGGCAAGATATTTTTTGCATCATTTCTTCAAAGTGTCAACCAGAGTTGATGAATGTATATTGTGTTTCACATTGCAACCTATTCTAGGGTAGGGTGGTCCCTTGAGACTTTTTGGTGGTCCTCAGCAACATTTGGCGCACACACCAGCCCTCACACTGCCTTCCCAAAGCCAGGTAAGCAAGATGCTGAGCTGTGGGAAGCATGGATGAGGGCTCAGACAGGGTCTTAAGAGTGCTCCCACCTCCTTCACAAAGCCTAATTGGCGCTTTCCCAGCTTTGGGGAGGAAGAAGAAAGGCTCTAGGACCCTGCCAGTGTCTTCTGACTCCTTCCCAAAGCCCTGAACCTTGCTTAGCCAGCTTTAGGAAGGCAGCGCAAGGGCAGGGGGGGGTCAACTTTTGGCCTTGCTTCCCCTGTGTGCAACAAGGCTGTATGCAGCCCATGGGTTCAATGTTGTACTACCTTTGCAGCCCACTTGCTATGAAAAGCTCAACCACCCTGTTCTAGAGGTTCCTCCCTTCAGCATGAAGGATGGGATCATTTCCATTTGATGGGGAGTGAGATAGAACTACGTTTCTCACCTCACCAGAATGTCCCCGTTATCACCACATCCTTGGTTGCTACCGAATTCTCTTGGCATCACAGTCTATTTACACTAACAAGAGCATTTAGGTCTTATGGTTACAAAATTGTTTCCAACCAATACTTTTATCAATAAATCAGTGTATCATCAAAGGTCAGCAACAAATGGAAAACATGGATTTCAATCCCCATGAAAGCTTATTGTTCAAGAGAAGGAGAGCATGTCAATATCAGTGAGAGACTTTTGAATAGTCATGATGTAAGGAATTTTAGTGGCAGAAAAAGCCAAGCTTCATGATGGTTCCCAAGCAGAGAACTCCTGAAGCTAATGGGAGAGGAAGAGAATTCCAGTTATTTATCCCCAGCCCCACCAGAGGAAGTTTCTCCCAAACTCCAGCCTCACAACAAGGTAGACCAGGAGAAATATTCCTTTTCTCCTTCCTAAACTACTTTTGGAGATGGGCTGTGTCCCAGCACATCCTATAAATGATTAGATGTGTGCTGCCCAAAGGCCTTGTTGCTTTTGACAAAGAGAAACACTGCAAGGTGGAACAGTTTGTCGCAATTTTTTTCACTAGCTTAAGCTGGTGAGCCTTCTATTGTCCTTGAGGAGGTTATGAAAACCCAGCATTAATGAGAAATGCTCTGTTTGCTGATTAGAATCTCCCTGCCTGAATTACATCTACTTTTCTAAACCAAATGACTAATCACAAATCTCCTGCTCGTGGAAAGTGTTTCTGCTTCATTTTTGCAATCCACCTTTTCCCTCAGCCCAGCCAGGATCCGTAAGAGAAGCTTTACAGGGGTGGGAAAGTCACATTCCATCAACACCCTTCAGCTGGCATTCCTCTGAATCCAAGCCATTGGGTTCAGGTAAACACAACTCAAATTAAAATTACACAGAAATATTATTTCTATGAAGCAGCCCTAACTTTCACTTCCCGTTTTGGAACAAACTATCTAATCTGTACAATTAAAATGTTACAACTATTAAGTTTGATTTGTATTCATATTTTTTCTGCTTCAGATGATCAAGAACTAGAAAATTGGCAGAAGATATTGGACAGGATTGAGGAAGGCTCTTACTAAACAGGCCCCAATGCACAAGGATGGACTTACAGTCCCAAGTTTGTTAGTATACTGTGAAGCCACACAGTTATTATGTTGGCTATGTTCAGAGACATCAGAAAATACTGAAAAACACATGGTACCAATTAAAACAACTCTGCATTGCTATCCAATTAGAAGTGCTCCCTTGGATCTCTAAGAATGAAACAGATTACCAAGAAGAGTTGGGATTAATTGTACAACAATTTATGAAAACATGGGGTACATATAAAAAAAATAACACCCAAGGATGTATCCATTAGCACCTGTGGTAAGATGTGAAAAGTTTTGTCTGAGAGGTCCGTTTTATGCTTTGCACAATTGAGAAGTGAATAAAGTGTCAGCATTTGGTGAACTTGCAGTAGATGGGGAGACATAATCTGGACAGAAGCTTGCTCAAACCCAGAGAGACAGCTTCATTTCCCTCCTCCCCACCTACCTCCCCAAACCCCATAATTTTGCTGTTTTCAAATGAATAGTTAATACATTCCTATACACTTAGGAAGTAACAGCTCGGTAAGTTTGACATATGTGGTGAATGTAAGGATCTCTACATTCTACATCCTAACTAGCAGTATGAAGGGAAAAGGTAGGTAAAAGTTAAAGGAGTTGCAGAAAAGAGATCTGGGAATTATAATATAAGAACCAAAATGAAACAATTCTTCATTCTCTTAGGCTACCAGCTTGAAGTCTCTCGGTCCAGGATGCAATATAGACGATGAGTAGAAGAGTTTGGATCTCATATCCCACTTTATCACTACCCTAAGGAGTCTCAAAGCAGCTAACAATCTCCTTTTCCCTTCCTCCCCCACAACAAACACTCTGTGAGGTGAGTGAGGCTGAGAGACTTCAGAGAAGTGTGACTAGCCCAAGGTCACCCAGCAGCTGCATGTGGAGGAGCGGGGACGCGAACCCGGTTCACCAGATTACAAGTCCAGCGCTCTTAACGACTGCAATATAAATGATTGTTATGCTGATACTCAACACCAGGCAGGCATAATGGAATGTTCTCAGTTCCATCATCATCATCATCAATTTATTACTTGCCTTCTAAACAACCATTTCAAGCTGATTTACAAATAACATAATGAAAAAGTTTAAAACACAAAAACTTCAAAACAAGACTAAAACTTGATCAAAGTAGACACTCATGGTAAAGGACCATTTAACAAGCTGGAATAGCCATTCAGAACAAAAATGGCTTCAATTGTTTCCAGAAAGTGCAAGTAGTGGGTGCCCATTGTATTTCAACAAGAATACTATTCCACAGAATAGGAGCATCCAAAATAAAAAATGCTGCTCTGAGTTGCTGCTTCTGTTTTACAAGTTAGACATGCATAGTTCCACCGATACAGAGCTTCTTCATATGTGGGAGGAATGTCAGGTGACCCAAAATTGTTGGAAGCAAATATAATTTCACATAGGCTATTAAAACCTTCCAAGGATGTTATTCAATATAATAGAAGAAACAATACCTAATATTTCTATTGACTGCTGGTGAAAATGTTTGGGCCCAATTTCCTTCCATTCAAGTACAGGTAGCAAAATGTACTAATTTGGCAGAAATTGGTAAATTAACAGATGGAATTTAGAGAAGAACTGGGTCCCAGCTCCCAATTAATCTGGCTTGACAAATGACTCTGGTTTATTTCTTACTGCAGTTTTCACTGTGGATATAAGGCTTGAATTATTTTTTTTAAAAAAACTTATGCATTTTTTTGTATAACAGTTCATTTCCTTCTTTTAAAAAAATGGCACCCAAGCATGACACAGCTGCAACCATGTTTTCATCCAACAGATTGGTCAACTCAAATTCCAGCTTCTTGGCAGAGTTCAAAAAACCAGGATCTTCTCTCATGTATACTTCTCTTCCCCCTGCCCTAACTAGTTCCTCTTCTCAGAATGGTTGCCTGTACATACAACTCAATAACCGGTACTTTCCTATGAATCATGTTGCACCATCCATTAATGTTCACATAGCTGCCCAATCTGTGTTGAACAGAAAGAGTTCATATTTCTATGTCACCTTTCTTTGCCCACAGCAAAGGATACAAACCTTTGACCAGGACTTTGTTTTTTAACTCACAGGGCAACTGAGGATAACCGGAATATTTCCTGGGTTTGGCTAACTGAACTCTGATGTCTCCATCTTTTACCATCTATTTGCAAATTATGGAGAAGTATTCCTGAAATTTTACCACTTGACTTCTGGTTCTTGGTTGCTGTATATTTCGGGGTTTGAATGAGATCACTACATATTTATTTATTTAGGTAAGGAAAAGAAGAGTTACCTCATCTGCACTTTCTTTGG